CAGGTCTGACACTGATTGAGTCGCTTATCTGCCGTCTCCGTCCTGCTCGCTGACAGCCTCTCCCCCAGGTATCAATCTGCACATCAGTTCTTTATTCCTGGGTGAAGGAAGAGCTGTCAAGGTTGCAGCTACACTGTCATCTTCATCTAAGCTGCCAGCTGCCCTTCATCACTTAAAGACCCTCTTTAACACACGCGCGCTTTGGGAGGGGGCCACCACGTTGGAGGTAAGGAGATGGCAGCAAAATTTCATTTGCTCTGGAGGTGCCCAGGGCTTGATGGATTGGCTTTCATTTGTCAGGGCACCCGTAAATAAACACCAGTTTCCATGCTGTAGATTCAGCCCCACTGCTTCTCCAGCTGGGCCAGACGGTGCAGGGAGTGCGGCAGGGTGCTGGGACCCCTGTGAGACACAAGGCTGCCCCGGGCCAGGGCCACCATCAGGGCGGTGGGACAGAGTGGAGAGAGGGTGGAGAAGACAAGCGTGTGGGGTCAGGCTTGGCTTTGAGGTTTGCTGGGAGTCCCTGCTGCGGGACACCTCTTGCGAAGCCCAAAGGTGGGGCTGAAGCCGAACCTCAGAGGACCGTGCCATCCCGGTCACTGCCCGCCATTGCAGGGCCGCGGGACCAGGACAGGGGCACGCTGGCACCTGCAACCTGCCGAGGTGGCCGAGCTGGGACAGTCTGGTCCCTGGCATGTCCCGGGGGCTGGCTGAGAGGAGGCAGAGAGGGCGCAGGCTGTTTCCCCGTGTGGTGCCTGTGCTGCCGCAATCTCATTCACCCCCAGTCCTGCACCCAGCCAGGGCATCCCTACGGTGCCCCCCTCAACCCTCATCCCCCCCCACGGCTGGCTGTGGCACTGCAGAGCCTCCACTGCACCTTTCTGCTCAGCACCAAACCGTCTTAGTCCTAAATTATGTTTTTCTTAGCCTAAAACTGCACTCCTCTCCAGGATCACCGGCAGTGCTGGCACAGGACCTGTGTCAGCTTTCGGCTTTGTGCTTGCTTGGGGCTGCTCTTGGGCCAGAGCAGCTTCCAGCCATCCCTGGCTCCGGGAGCAGAGGCCGTGTCCGAGCGGGAGGGCACGTGTGTGCGCAGGGTCTGCATTACAGCCCCGCCTCACCAGGAGATGGCGAGCACAGGAGAGTGGTGGGCATGGCCCCGCATGCCTCCAGACGTGCCTCAGTTTCCCTGCAAGTTTCTGGCTGCCCATAGTCTTCTCAGTTCAATTTTCTTCTTGTTGCTCCTCCAAAAATAAAAAAGTCACTGAAACATAATCTCTACCATAATGTTTATTAAATAGTAATTTTAAAAGGTTTTTATACAAATCATATAAACACAGTTTGATTTTTTTTTGTTGTTTTCTTTTTTTTTTTTTTTTACACCGAAGAATCACAGTAAAAGCTCTTTAAGTCCATAAGTCCTGGCTCAGCCAGTGAACGGTCAAATACCTTGAACTGCAAACCTTGGAGAAGTTCCATTTCTGCATATAATTTCTTAATGGTTTAATTCCCATGCTCACCCCCGGCACCTTCCCACAAAATGAAATCACCCAGCACTACAGCCCGCCCGTTAGCAACACGTCTTCGCCACGGGAAGGGTGTGGAGGCAACTGCTCATTTCAGCAATGGCATTAACACCAATTTCTTTTTTTTTTTTTTTTAATTTTCTGAATTTCACAGAGGGAATTGCAATCAGCAAACCTAATCTATTTGCAGAGGAGGATGCAATGAATTGAATACACTGACGACTTTTTTTTTTTCTTCCCTGTTGAAGTTACAATCAAACACAGTTTTCTGTAGAAGAACAGTAAAGCACCCGGCAGAGGTAAGTGAGGTATCGGCTTTGCAGCATTATTGGCCTGCTCCTGCCCAGCAAGCACACGCGCGTGGGCCCAGCCCCGTCTGGAAGGGGCAAGCGGCACACACAGGGCGGACGCTTCGCTGGGCCCGTGCCAAGTTAGTGCCAAGATCAGCAGTACTCTCCTGCCCCAGATCAAGAGATATATTAACACGAGTCAGTCCCACGGAATAAGTCACATACACGATACATACAGAGAATTCACGTGCGTGTGCAATCACACTATTTCTGAATATATGTATATACGAACTCTTCTCTCTGTACGCCTACTAGACACCATAACGTCACCTTTTTAATTATATATTTTCATCTATTGTTTGCCTAAGTTGACTTTTCTACTGTATGGTCCTTTTCCATTCATCCTTCCCCTCTCCTGTGGTTTGAAGGGGTAAAATCATCGAGCAGCAACAATCCAGCTTTGAAATGGTCTGGTACATTTCTTCTTACTGCCTCCGTTTCTTTTGTACAGTAAAATAACACCCCTGTGGAATTTGTCCGCAAAGAACGCCAAAAGAAATAAGGTGATTTGAAAGGAGAATCTGAGATACATTTACTGCTGTTTCTGTTGGGTGCACAGTGTGAATTAAAAAGACGAAGGCCTTTGTGTGTCTGCGTCTCTGTGTGCGTGTATGAACCGTGGACGTTTTGATGACACAGCTGCTGGTATCTGCTTCCCCAGTAAAACATGTGTCTTTCTTACAGTGGAGAAGTCTTTTTTTTTTTTTTCCCCCTAAAAACTTACTGTCTGATGGAGCTCTTCATGAAACACTAGACAAATGTTCCTACTCCCACTGCACCGAGGAGCAGCTGTGGCACTGTCCGTGCTCATCTCCTCTCCAGATGTTGCTCGTCTCCCCGAACACCTGGCCTCCTGCAGGATGTGTTTGCAGGGGCTGTGCAAACTGAGCTTCACAGCACATCACACCTTCGGTGCTCTGTGGTTAGTAAGGAAAAAAAAAAAATCCATCCACAACCCAAACTATTTGCTAGGCAAAATGTAAAATCAGGACGTGTCAATTATTTCCAAACTGCTCCTGGAAAAGCAAAGTCAACATGCTGGAAAGGTTTCTCACTTAGATATGTGCAAGCTGACAGAGGCGATCCGCCTGTACTGAATTGGAAATGAAGGCATTGGTTTGGGGCCCAGCATTTGAATTCTTTTCTCCATTAAATTGTTTTCATAACACTCCTCTCCCACGGCACAGTGGTAAATGGAGAGGTATCAGCTGCCAGACAGTGTAGCCAGACCACTTGAAAGTAGAAGGACCAGACTTCTTCAGCCAAGCTCTACCCAAGGAGAGAGAGCAGTGAAGAAGAGTGTTTTGCTGGGGAAGGATGAAGGCCTCACTTGTTTGATACAGCACTGATCATCAGATGGAGGAAAAATACTTCTTCTAAGGCACTTGTTCAAAGTAAAACAAAACACAGCTTATAAATAAAACCTCGGGAATTTGCTACTGATCAGGAGCAGCGCAGCTTTGCTCCAAAGGGGATGTGACGGCAGCCGTTTGGTCCATGGGTGCTGACAGCGCCAGCTCATGCCCCCCAGCTCCAGGGAGAAGGGGAGCACAGAGAAGGGGAGGGGGGCCCGTGGGCATCGGGGCTGCGGGCTCGGCTCCAGCCTCCTTCCCTGTTCACTCTCCCTCCCCGGCACTTCAGAGAGGCTTCGGCACTGTGCCTCAAGTCACAGCCCGAGTGAAGCCCCCTTCCCAAAGCTGTCGCCTGAAAGGCCCTATCTTTTGTTTGCTGCAATTTTCTCATTATAGCAAAAAAAAGGAAAAAAAAAAAAGAAAAAGGACAGGATCAAGTGGGGTGGGAGATTCAAAGAAAGGCCTTCCTGATGAAGGTCTCAGCTGTTGCAATCCAAGATCTGGATTTAATAAATGGCTCTTATTCACAAATCACTTTAAGGCTCTTCAGCTTCTCTCAAAGAGGTGCTTCTACACATAGGGTTTCCTTTCTACTTTGTCACTCAATGACTTCAGAAAGCGCTGTTGTTACCATCAACACTCGAGCCAGTATCCCACCTTTTCCCCTTCCAGAAGAAGGAAAGTTGAAGGTAACAACATGCTTCCATTTTCAGGACAGGAAATTGCAGCTTCCTGGACTTAGTGTGAAGCACACAAATCCTTACAGCCAAAAAGGTATCTGGACAGGGTCTAAAATGGACAGGGTCTCTGTGTATGTGTGTTATTTCTAAAGAGAGGGTGGCTGAAGAAATCCCTCGGCCTTCTCAGCAACTCACTAGAGAAAGGAGGTGGGAAATAACGATCAACATTTAGTTTCTCACATCCAAAAGGTAAACCAGTCTCCCTCACCACGTCCCAGCCATTCGCATCGCAGAAAACGAAGATGAACCAACAAACAAGGGTCTCGGTCCTCCCTCGCCCGGCACAGTCCAGTTTGCAGGAACGCCTGCTCGGTCCTGGTGGAGCGCAACCCGCCGGCGGGACCTGGCAGCAGGAGCAGCGCCTCCCCTCGCTCCTCCCGCGCCCCTCGCTCCCTGTTATGGCATTCAGTTCCCATAGAAAACAGCAAAAAATGTAACCCCCCTGCCAGCCCACCTCACCGGGTGCAACACCGAGGGTGAACCCCAGGGCACCCATCAGGCCTCTGAGCAGCACTTCTGGTGGTTCATCTTGACCTTGTGCTTGATGCCGTCGTACAGCTCGAAGTTGTAGTTCTCCAGCGTGGTGGAGCTCCGTGAGGATAGCCCAGCATACGAGCACGTGCAGTAGAGGAGCAGACCGGCACAGATGGCCCCGAGAAGGACACCGAGGGAGCTCATCGCTATAATGGTCACCAAGATGGGATCCAGGGTGTAGAGCCAGCTTTTTTCTTTGTCCAGCTTTGAGGTTCCTGGAGAGTTAGTAGAGAATAGTGTGTCGTTCCTATCCAATCCAAAGTAATCTGCAGTGGAATGGGCACTTATTATCCAGGGATAACTTTTTTTTTCCGCATCACCTTTATGCATTTCTAACTTGGAGTTGTGATGGCCTTACAAGAGTATAAGCTCCTCCATAGGTACATCTTAGCAGTATTCTCTAACCCAGGTCTAGAAGTAATGCAACACACTGAACTACCAGGAAAGTTAGGCACCCTAATTCATTTTTACATCTCAGGCTAGGGAAATAGCATGCTAGCATTTTACACCCTCTGAAATTGTGGCCCTTCACGCGGTGCCATTGGGTTCAACACTATGGAAACAATCTGTCACAGCTCCCAGACTTAATTTTCTCCATTTACAAGTCAAAATGCCACACAAGCAGCAATTAATGCTTGAAAGATCAGTTCCACTTGTCCTAACACAAATACAATATATTGACTTTGCAAGGTTGCTTGCTGTTGAAAAAGGAAAACAAGAAAAGAAAACTAATGTCTTTGTCCAGGCACTGAGCCACCACTTGAGTGCATGTTTTCAAGCGTGTTCTAGCTCCTAACCCACACTAAAGCTGAGGTTTGAGAGTAATTGTAGCGTCTGATACTGAAACACAAGCTCCCCCAGATAGTTTGCCCATGTGGTATTTGGGTACCAACCTGAACCATCGTTGTCTTCAAAGTCTTGCTCAGAGGTTGGAAAGTCATCCTCCATTCTTGGGAAGTTCACTAGAACAACAAAATGGGAAGCACTGTTGTTTAAAGAGGCCTTTTGGGGGCATTATGGCCACTGGTTGCCGGATTGCGAGACTGGCCAGAAGAAAGCAATAGTTGAACTACTGCAAAGCTCTTCCTCAGGGAAGGAGGAAGAATTCCTCTTCTTCCTTTGGCCAAAGTAAATGAAGACTCTTGCACACTCAAGAGAACAGGATCTGCCCGCTGCATCACATTTCATGACCACCAAATGACCAGCTTTTAAGAAGAAAAGAGAGCGAGCGAAAAGCAAAGAAACCAGATAACCTGAATAGCATGACAATATTGTCATTGGTGCCTGCATAATGGCCATAATTCACTATTAACATGCTCAGGGGTATTATCCTTACAACTCTGAATGGGATCTTAGTGCCTATCATTACTTGCCACTAACGCTAGATCCATTTAGCACACTCTACTTTTCATCTTTTCCCATACACCTTACTGGACACAGAGCTTCAATGACCCAGTTTTTCTTTGGGTTTCAGACAAATTCATAGTAATTTGAGGAAGTCATGTATCATCACTATATGTTTTAATGCAAAAGCTGGTTGAAATGGGGAGAGCGGCAAATGGGTGCCCATATCTAGGTATTTATGTTAACATTTCTCTGATCCAAATTCCTTTTAGTCATGACATTTCTTTTTATTGTTCAGCACAGATCAAGCACTAGTAACCAAATGCACATGCTGTAATCTGAGCAGAAGAAAATTATTTTCCTGTGCAGTCTTCCTAGCATTATCTCTAGGTATAGTTACCATCTTTTCAGTTTTTACAAAAGAAAATGCACTTTCGTTTTGATCTGCTTAGAGGTTTCAGAGCTGACTATAGCTCGGGGTGCTCAACTGAGAAGGCACCTTGAAATGATCAGGAATGCAGAAAATCAGGGACAACTGGAAAGCGGTAGAAGTCACACCTTTGCAATAGTTGTGGTTGAAAACCAAGGCTACTTCACGTCTTGTGCAAAAAAAACAGGGAATGTAACTTTTGCCTAAAAAGCCACATACAAAGAAATATTTCAAAACCTTATAAAAGCATATTTGTGCATATTTGCACAGAAGATTTAGGACTGGAAAAGGCCTTCTGAATTGTCACATCTTTTTTTTTTTTTTTTTTTTGCAATCCCAGGCAATGGTACCAGGTAATCCCTGCCAGCAACATTTCAAGGTTCGCTTGCAGAGCAGGGGGCTCTGCTGAATGCCATGCCGCCCCAACACCACCTCACACCTGACTGCAGTGATCCTCTGTGCCGGTACTGATGATACCTTCCCCAGTACCCATTCTTTGGGCAGAATTATCTTTTGCCCTCTGCACTCAAAGGATTAAGGGATTTCTTTGGATTTTCAAGTGAACCTGGCAACAGGAGCACACAAAACCCAACATTTGCCCCTCCTGACGATAAGCTCTGCATCTAGCGAGCCAGGTAATTAAGCCAACTCGAGGCTGCTGCTAGCTTGTTGAAGAAACATAGGTGCACACCATCTTCTGTAAATCCTCACTTTAGCAGTGAGTTCACATGATTTCTCAACGCTTCCAGAACTGACAGGCCCAGATGGCAACATCTTAGGTCTGGGAGAACTGCCTGAGGGCCTCTTGCAAACATTTAGAGCTGAACATGTGGAAAAATAACTTGCAAAGCAGTTCACACGCGGAGACGTCTGCTTTGCTAGTCTTCCATCAGAAGACAAGCACTGAAATTCGCCATCCATGTCACCCACACAACCCTATGGAAACCGCAGGTTGCGGGAACATGAGGAAAGGTGGAAATTGGCTGACGGTCTGCCCAAGGAGCCCATGTGCAAGGAAAGGCCGTTGGAAATCTTTTGCCTTTCCATATTGTAGCTCCTCTCAATTTTGTGTCAGAACAAGCTAGCAATTTGGCGCTTTTTTATTTCCCAGGGTAGCCTTGAGGGAAAAGCCAGAAAAAAACAAAGTATTGGTTAATCAACACTTTCAAAAGAACACCAGTTCTTCCAGCCTGAAAGGAAGGAGCGCTGGGAAAATCTGAAAAGAGAGAACATTTATACAAAAAACCCAGCCCAAAATCTATTTACTCTTTTAGCAATTTTCTCAATTCCCCATGCTAATATGACTCCAAGTCCTGCTTAAATGGTATCTTCCTCCTCGCCCATTCTCCTTCCTCCTCAGGCCTGTGGTAGGCTCTTATTCTTCTGTTCCCCGCATGCCATTTCATTGCTATCAGATTGTGTGTTGTCACGCAGGGCTCTGTGCTGGCTTTGGAAAAATACAACTGAATGTTTCTTTTTCCATACTGGGGTTTCTCAAGTCATTAACAAAATCAGCTCTGGCTGCATGGCTCTCTGTGGGAATTGAAGCTGGTGGTCTCAATTCAGTTTCTATTGCAGATGATTTCCCATCACAGAAACTAGCTTGCTGTTTGTCATTATTTAGGCTCCTCTGTGACAAATCTGAGCAATATTGTCACAAGTGAGGCAGGCCATGGAAAGTGACCCCTTTGGAAAGCGGTCCTCAGAAAAGACCTGCAAGCTGCTGGGCAGAATGGGAGAAACACGCATCGCCCTGTGCCATGGAGAGCTGCTCCCTTAAAGGGCAGCTTTCAGGCACAATTTACTTTGCATTTTAAAAAGAAAAAAATATACTGGAGAAGGATAGACAAGAAAGTTAGGGGGAACTGTATTTAAACAGGAGGAGCGCTTGCTCCTGAGTGAAAGGCCCTTTTTAAAGCACATGTGCTGAATGATGGCTGTGAGCACATGGCCCATCATGCCCAAAAGATGATGTTAGCGATGCTGTTGGAAACGGCCGGATGCCGAGAAAAGGCTGTTATCTGTTGGATCTGAGAGCACTGCCAGCCAAAAGGCTAATTTATGGGACCTGAAAAAAGAAAGATGAGATTCTAATCAAAGACAAGGAGCAACTTAAGTACTATGTTCGTATGACGTCACATGGAGGGAGAGCAGGAGGGAATTAGTATTTGCAGAGATTAAGGAGCTTTAATGTACATCTGTTTTAAAATAGCAGCGGGGCAGGAGGGATTGGGACAGGGAGGGGGCTACTGGAAGAGGGGGTGCTCACCACAGCAGACAGGGGAGGCACAAGAGCAGATGAGGTTCTCTGGCGTCCCACCACAAACATACATGTGCCTCTTGCAGGAAACCTCTCTAAACTTGCCCAAGGCAGCTCACCTCTGCTTTGCAGGTGACTGGAGGTGGACTGGCATGTATTTCCCGCCACCACGCATGCTCAACGCCAGCCTGCCTGCACGGGCCTACCAGCAGTGCCCGCCATCTTAGGCAGAGACCTTTGCACCAAGCCAAGAGCTATTGCCTTGGCGAGGACACCCAGTCCCAATTTATGAGCCTAGGCACATTCCTCCAAGGCAAATGACCACCACTGAGAAAAAAAAAAGCTGTTTATTTCTAGACTGACTTTGTCTGGTTTAAGTTCGGGCACCGGGTGCTGTCTCCTGCCGGGTCCCTCCATCCCAGGGCAGAGCTCTGTCTGTCACCATGCCTCGATCTCTACACACAGGCATTTGCAGATGATGGCTGTGGTGCCTCTCAGGCTCTTTCTAGGTGAAGGAAATGACGCACCAGGTGATGGCAGCTTGTGGGAGCTACCTACTGTCCTTCACTGCCCAGTAACATCTGTAGCTGTGCTTCCTGGTACAAAAGAGGGGCAGCCAACTGCCCTCTGCTCCTTCCCACAGCGGGGAAACAACCATGTGCTGCTCACTTCCCCGAAAACAGCAAATGTCCTCCTACACGCTCACCCCTCTCTCCTGCTGCCACAACAGCCATTTCGGCCGGTGCTATCCCACCTCGCAAGGAGCGTCAGAGGCTGCCAGCCACTCTGCTGCCAAACAGTGCCCACAAGGGCCTGAAACATTAAATCCAGCTAAGCCCAGGAAAACAGGGTCAGAAATTACTGCTCCCCAGCCTTGGCAGAGAGAGGCAGAGCTCCAGCTCCGCTCTGAACCTCGCTTTTCTCCCTCTGCTCATTCCCAGCCCTTTTCTCTCTGCAGCAATAGCGTGACTCCAACACACATCATTTTGTTTTGACATAGCAGAGCAGCCGCTGTGGCCTCGCCTTGACATCGCTCTGTTGGCGGCGGCGGCGCAGCGCTGCTCCTCCGGCTGGGAGCCCCGGGGGGCTGGAGGGGCGACACCGCCCACCCTCGCTGTATGGGGAAGCACTTCTCAAAGCAGCAACACAGGCACCAGGCAGAAACACTCCCTCTGAATCCCCCATCACTCTATTTCCAGCCGAAAATTTGCCTCCCTTCTCTCTTCCCCACTCCTCTAGAAACAGAACAATTTTAGTTTACAAAAGGGCTAAATCCCTGCCAAATTTCAAATTAAAACAGTGCTTTGGCTACAGCTGAGCATTAAGGAAAGCAAACAAGCAGCCTCTCCCTTGGCCTGGCCGTCCTCCGCAGCGCGGGAACCCCTGGACCCTGTCCTCAGATTGCCTCGGGGCTGCCCTGGTGGCAGTGCACACTGTGGCACCATCTTCAAACTGGGTGGCACAGAAAAGCCTCCCACGGTCCTTGGGCTTCCCATATGCAGAGAAGATGGGGAAGCGTGGCTGGGCAGGTGAAGACCCCCACTGAAAGCACTCAGAGACTTGAAGCTGCGCTGGGTGCTTGGTGCCCAGCTGAACACAAGCAGGCAGCTACTTCCACCTCCAGTGCTGCCCTCTGATGTGTGGCACCCTGCCCTCGCCACACGCACGGCAGATGGCCAAGCTGGCCACCCAAATCAGGGACCCTGCCAAACCCTCCTCGCAGCAGTCACATCCCCTGTTGCAGCCTGACCCTTTCCCCGGCACCTCCCTGGCACGTCCTGCTTTTGCACCTCTTGTCGGCACCAGCACAAGGCCATGGAAAAAAATGGCAGCGGTGTGCACGCATACGGCATTACAGTGGCATTATACAGCGTGGTTTTCCTCTCCCTCTCTCTTAGTGCTGGACTACCCAGGTAAGGAGCTGCCAT